GGCGGGGCTCGCACCTTCGGTGGTCGACTCGGTTGTCTCAGAATCCTAGTTACGGCCTGATCTGCTGCCCTACGACGTATACTTATTAGTTAAACCATGCATATATATGCTGGTAGCTGCAGTGATACAGACTTGCCGACTGGAACTTCTCCAGGTTCCCCGCTAAATATGTCCCCTCCAGTGAGAATTGCGAAAGTTTGCATGAGAGTTGTTGAAAATTGAGAAGCGAGAGTTTGAATAAGAGTTGAGAAGCGAGAGTTTGCATGCCAGAGTTTTCTCAACTCTCATGTCCCGGTCAAACGAGAACAAGAGTTGCATGAGAGTTGACGACAGTTGACTGGATATTACGGCGCGTGTAGCGAAACTCTAATTTGAATTTTCTCATCTTTGACTTTGTTTGGCCAAATAATTATAATTAATCGCAGTGTTTTGCCATCCTTCTCAAACAAACAACAAACAAAACAAAACAAACAGACAAATTATCTTTATCGCAAATCTACAAAACAATTTTGAATTACAGAATTCTCCAGACCCTTTTGGAAAGTTGATATTGTCATATTGGCTCGATTCTTAATACAATAAGATCGATAGATCAAATGTCCAAAATGGAAGTATCCGTCACATGGAAAACCTTGTGCTTAGAAATGTCATTTTTATAAAATATTGATGGCCATCCGTCAAGTCTTAAGATGAACTATATATATGTAGGGGAACTACGCATACATTTCGTTTGAGAAACGTGTTTAATTAAATACAGACGAAGCGTCTGGAAAACTATATCTTCTCTTCTCATCCAGACAGATCATGGTCGATCAATCTTTGACTTTGTCTGCATGATTTAGCTCTACATAATATTAGTTTTGAACTTTAGAATTCTAGTATACATAGTCGAGATAACCCGAAAGGCGTAAAACGGTCAATTTATACCTCAGTTTTTTAATGAAACAGAATAGAAAATATAATCTAAATTACAAAATTAGTGAAAATTCAGTATGTCGGCCAGACTGCGCCGCGAAGTGGTTTGAAGACGGCGTAGAAAAGTCACAATTAAAAATGTCGTCACGGTTTCTAAACGGAGACTGATGAAAACGGAGGGCTTAGCGGCTTCGTATTAAGATGACAAACGCCATTACTTTTTTGTACCGTTTGCATCTCTGGTCTCAAAACAGTGAAGTCGAATATGCTTTTCGTTTAATTTTCTTTGTTTTATTTGAAATATTTTGGGATTGCATCGATGCTAATTTCATTTGTAAATATCTCGGTGTTAACGGCGTCGTGAAAACACACGTAAATTTTTCATTCATTATTTAGCTCCGGTGTGGTTTAAACGTATATAGTCTCAGACGAACAGAACAAATTCGAGCACAGTTAACTGCGTGAACAAATAGAACGAGGCAAACTTATATAGATTAGGCGGTTACAGGACATTCTTTCAGGAATTACAGCTACTGGGGCCATGTTTTAATGAATAATGAGGGCATTTTCCACTGTGTCAGTAAGTGTACAATGCCAATGGCATGGAACAATTCTATGCCGACTTTTTGAAGATGGAATGTCGAGAATGTGAGATAATACGAGAGAGCCTATAAACAGGTGCAGTCCGTCTCGACACGTTTGAGTCATTTTATTTATAGTGAGTAAAAGGGCACAGTTCATCTGAAAATCTTGCTTCATTACTGGGGAAAGCAAAGGGATCCACTGCGGTAACACTAGTTATATAGTTTAAAAAAGCCTAGTTGTGGTGACGTGACTCGTAAGAAGATTAAGCTTTTACACTACTGAAAGTTTCTGTGATCACTGTAGGAATTTTGCATTGGTAAATTCTAAGTTTTGAAGGATTTGTAAGAAATGTTTGAGGCAACTGATAAACAGTATTCAGTTCCCTCGAAACGAATACTTCAAGACTTAGAATTTACCCATGCAAAATTTCTACTGTGATCACAAAACTTTAACAGTATAAACGACGCTTTACAGTCTACATATGTCAATGGACAATGACATACCGGTGCTCCGAGCCAGTACTGAGTGTAATAATACTCATAACCTCCATCGATACCCATTCCGTTTGTTCTGTCCTCGTCATAATCATCATGATACTGAAATAACAAGCCACAAGCAGCTATCGCACAACCAAAGAGTATACAGCACACGGCCGCGAAAGCCAGAGCACATTTTTGTTGTTTCGAAGAAGCCATATTTACAGACGACTCTCGAGTTTCGATGTTTTTTAAAAGACACACAAGAGATATTAATTCTTAACGCACGTCAATATGTTTACATTTCAAAACAGTATTGTTAATTCATGAATAATTTTTACATATCAAACAGGGAAAGACAATACCCGTTAAGGGTGGCCAATAAAGAACAAACACTTTAGGAAATTCCAACGAGACACCACGCTAATGTTCGTTCAATTTGCGTCTTGTGATGGAATGACTGCAAAATGACTAAGAGATTTACATGATAATTTTAGCATTCTGGAACAAATTATAAAGATCTAATCAAAGTGATTTAATCTTTGCTCAAAGATGAGCAAATATCCTTGTCTGTGATGTCAATATAGCGACAATAGGCTATAATCCTATATAGTTTCGTTATCTTTTCAAAGCGAAAATTCAAGTCTGTTGGGAAATCCGCTCACCAATGCGTGAGAAATAAAATAAACTCAAAATCTCATTCTATTTCACAAATTTAAAGTTATTAGCAAGTTTAATATAAATGTTATGAAAATATGAAATTACATGAGTCTCAACCTGCGTTTGAATTATATATATTATTATTGTATTCTCAAGATGTCTTGTCTTTTCGGAATTTGTTTTTTACTTTACTTTTTTAAATTGTCGGCTGGCCATGGTTTTTGGACATAATGAAAGATAATGACGTAATGAAACAGGTTCTAAGGAAGAAGTTATTTCGTTGATCTCATGAGAATGACATTTCGTCAAAACGTTTTTCTTCAGGATTGGTTTAGAAACAAACTTGGAGTAGGGTTAGGTTAGAGTTTGGAGAATAGGGTTAGTGTTAGTAAAACCGTTGCTTTGCTACGCTTTGTCACTCTGACGCCAGCGAAATAATCTCTTCCCAGGTCTAAAAGGCAGACGCACGCGTACTAGACGTTTCTAGCTCCTTCGCCCAGCGGCTACGCTCGTGTTCCAAGATCCGCCATGTAAAGTGTGGTGAAATTTATCTCATCGTAATATTAAATCCTAAGAAAACTAAAGCCTCTGCGGAGGAGAGAGACGTTTATATATAAATTGCAGTTAAACAGTGAACACTTGAACTGTATAACATGTAAACTACTGGAGAATTAGAATATGCATATCAGAATATTACAGCAGCTGTTCAATCTTTATTGTGTTTCATTTGTATAGCCACAATAGAATTGCATTAAATATATTCTTTTGTACTAGCGTATTTTGTCTTCTTTGTAAAACAAAACAAAATAAAGCAAAGTACACTTTAATAGGGAATACCTTTTGTAATTTAAAGCGAATCGACCGTCCGTATAAAACTAAAACTAATTGTTATTTGGGCATGGTGGAAAAAACGGAGTGCGGACTACGAAGTATACGGAGTCTGTCAAAAAATTGTTTATTTCGCATAGATTCGATCTCTACTTTTCTCTCATATTTTCGCGCCTTTTTTGACGGCTCGCATGCAACGCTATTTTCAACTCCTTGAGAGACGGACTTGAACCAAGTCTAATCTTAACGAGACCCCGCGTTTTGGGCATAAAGTGGAAAACGCGGAGTCTCGTTGAAATCGAATCTTTAGGCAAAATAAACAATTTTTTGACAGACTCCGCGTTTTCCACTTTATGCCCCCATAAACTGGAAAACGCGGGGTCTCGTTAAAATCGAATCTATGCGAAATAAACAATTTTTTGACGACTCCGTACTCCGTCTTTTCCACAATGCCAACTTTTTGCATATTGAAATGATGATTGAATCATGGGCGGATTTTGAGGGGAGGTGTGGGGGAGGTGCGCACCTCCTGAGGGGAGGTGAGGTGTGGGGGAGGTGCGCACCTCCTGAGGGGAGGTGTGGGGGAGGTGCGCACCTCCCCCGAGATCGTTTTGCACCTCCCCTGAGAATTTTTGCACCTCCCCTGAAAAGTCATGCACTTCCCCTTGGGAAAGTTTCAACGATAGATCAAAGTGAAAACTTGACATTTTTTGGTTGCTTAGGGTCTACACTTCGTAAGAAAATTTTTCTGTAAAATTGAAACAGTGATAGCCATTCATCTCTGTGTTAAGTACCATTTTAATGCAATGTTTTGAAAGAAACTTTGTAGTAATTGTAATGAAGGGCAAAATTGGATGAGTTGTACAGTCATAATTCATTAATACACTGATACATATGTACACTACATGCATACGTCACGTCGTTGACTTTGGGCCATTCTAAGCCCTAACTTTCCATGGGGGCCGTGAGCTAGACTGCTGAAACTCCCCTAAATTTTTTCCACCTCTCCCACTATTTCCACTAAAATCCAACCTTGGATTGAACAATCGATTCGAATGCTTAGATATGCATATTCTAAGGCTGGCTGACACTATCAAAGTTTCTGTGATCACAGTAGGAATTTTGCATAGGTAAATTCTAAGTTTTGAAGGATTTGTAAGAAATATTTGAGGCAACTGACTCGGTGTTTAACACTAACTCAGTTCTTCCCTCAAACATTTCTTACAAATCCTTCAAAATTTAGAATTTACCCATGCAAAATTCCTACTGTGATCACAGAAACTTTGCTAGTTTTCTCAACTGAAATTTGTCCTGACACAGAACAAATACAATGGGACATTCTGATCATTGGATGCTGACTGAATAGCAAACCAACAAACAAACAAACAAACAAACAAACAAACAAACAAACAAACAAACAAACAAACAAACAAACAAACAAACAAACAAACAAACAAACAAACAAACAAACAAACAAACAAACAAACAAACAAACAAACAAACAAACAAACAAACACAAATTCATTGACAATGAACCTCTTTTGAAAGATGTATTATGTTATCGTGTATAATAAAATTAATGACATATATAGCTAATGTCCTTTCGTTGCACAAACGAATGTCTTACAGAAACGTTTCACTAATAAAACCTTCTCTGGAGTTCTCTTCAAATGCATTGGAATTTTACTCGTATCCTCTGAAAAATAACAGAATATAATGTAAACCTCCAAATACGATACATTAGTTTTGACATGCCAAAGAAGAACAAAAAATTGTTGTCTTGAGCAGAATACAAATTTCCTATTCAGGTTTTATCATTAGCAAGCCATTGAGCAAAGGGGATTGGAAATAAGTTTTAGCTAATTTAACCATTTAAGTGGCAATATGCTCTGATGCATCCTACTGTATTATTTTACTCTGTCTAATGCCAGACGATTTTACTTATCAAGGGGAGAGTTCTGCCACTCAATGGGTTAATCAGACCATGCATCCTGTTAATTAACTTTACAGACTTTTTGCATGTACTGTATGAGGATTATCCATGCTTTTTCTAATGCCAGGCAATTTCACTTGTGGTAACTATAGATTTTAGCATGGAGAGATGAAGTACTTACTTTACATAATGAGCTATATCCCAGTTAGTTTCAAGCGTTTTCACGTTCGATATAACTGGTTCATTACCATCCCTGACAATTGCTAACTCATACTAAAATTAAAGTAAAATTGGTATTACATTACACAGGGGCGAATCTACCGCGCGAGGATGCGCATTCCACCTAGACACCACCTACCCGAGAATTCCAGTACCACCCTGAACAAGTTACTTACTTTGTTCAGAGATCTTGCATCTCGATAATACAACACTGTTAGGCATTTCCTGAGCAGTTCTGCAGCCTCTTCTTCAGACATATTTGGATTTTTTTCCATAGCATCGCGAAGCATTGGCTGGTGACATACAGAAATTATAAACAAATAAGATATTTGTGCGGTACTGTGCTACTGATGGTACAGTGGGCAAATTTACATGTGTTTATGATCAAATGCACTTGTACCTGAGCTATATAAGCTCCATATCCTGTCGCAATAGTCGGCCCTTCATATGCAATACCAAGTCTGTCGATATAACCAAGGAAACTATAACATTGATAAGAAATATTTAAGAACTTTATGATCTGCAAAAGTCTCTGAAACCATAGACAATCCAGAAGACATGTCTTCTGGATTGTCTATGCTGAAACATATGCATTTGTGAACAGCAAGCCTTTAAAATATCGGTCGGTCACGGACATTGTCCAACCCATTCGTGAAATTGTCTGATGCAGAGAGGAAACAACCATTCTGTCCGACTTAAGTGAAATTGAGGTTTATTTTTGTCCGACCCGAGTGAATTGGTGTCCGACCTAACTGTAACTTTGTCCAACGTAAATCAAAATGTACCCTAGTCCAGGACTAGAGGCTCGTAGGTTAATTTAAATGGAGAATCAGAGTAATGTATAAAAAGTGAACCGTAAATGTTGTTTTAATGTTATTGAGCGCGGGGGAGCGAGCAAAATGGTGAAGTTGAAAACGGGCTTAAGGTGTCGAAGTCTTACTGCTGTTATCGGCAAGCAAGTTGATCTTGGCTTGGAAATAAGTATGAATGACATGGTGCAAATTATTTAATATCTTCACAACATTTAGTTCAGAATTAATACATTGTGTTGATATTGTGTCATTCAGACTTATTTCCGAGCCAAACAGAACTGAAGGACATTATCACACATATGTGATATTGCATGTCCGACCCAAACTCAAAGTCATCAGACATTTTGTGAGACGGCCCGGTAAAAGATATTTTAAGGCCTATCAGTTTAGGTAGTGCCGATAATAAGACAATCCTAAATCCTTGTATTTTCCAGGCAGTTATAATCCCTATCAATATGCAAATATTCATAACAAATAGACCTTTCCCCTTTTTAGTGAAATTTTGATCTAGACAAGTCTGGACAAAAATTTCACCACAGCTTGAAAGAGCATCACAAAATTAGTAATATTCCGAAGTTTCGTTGCGAAATGTTGTAAAATGCAGATAATATAGCCCTGCGAAGTTTGCCGTTTTTCAGTCATTTTGTATTACAAACGGGAAATTGATAATCAGTTTGATCATATGATTATCAATTTCCATTTGTAATGCAAAATGACTGAAAAACGGCAAACTTCGCAGGGCTATATTATCCGCATTTTACAACATTTCGCAACGAAACTTCGGAATATTACTAATTTTGTGATGCTCTTTCAGGCTGTGATAAAATTTTTGTCCAGGCATATCTAGATCAAAATTTCACTCATAAGGGGAAAGGTCCATTGCTTTCCATCTTACTTTTGCCCCTCATAATTCCCAGCAACAACAATCTGATTCCAAAGAGGATCCATTTTCGTTCGTCTAAAAATACAGTCGACACTTTGCATGAGTATATACAAGAGCCATCTACAGGTGTATGTACCACAGAATACCACAGAATATCAAAGTACCACAGAATATCACAGTACTACAGAATACCAGTTTTTTTTATTTCTCTTATAAAATTTGAAGGAAACATACTACCTCAGGCTTTCTGGTATCCTTGTGTAAAAAAGTAGAATAAAAGTAGAACTAGAATTTTAGAAAAAGTAGGAATAAAGTAGGAAAATGTGTAGAAAAGTAGGACAAAAGTAGGAGTTTTTGGAGATGCAAATAACATAAAAACGTACAAAATGTACAATATGTGGTAAGGGGTAGACCATTAGATATCTGATGGGAAAGTTGTGTGAATTTTTGGTGCTCAATAGTTTTGTGTACTCATTCATCTATGCAGGATTTTATTCTCAAAACTTTTAAATTGCATCGGTATAGAAGCTAAGGCATCTGCTCTGTTGCAACATAATTGAAATGCATTATGCGTGTGAGTCAGTGAGTGCATGTATTTGGCTGCACCATACACCACTCCACCAATCCACACTGTGCAGCAGGAGCATATGATGCTTTATTAACTGGGGGTGGGGGTGTTGAATATTTGAAATCTCTAGATCGTCGGAAATGGCACTTTCAGAGTCTTCATTAATTTGTTGATTTTGATTCTAGAGATGCTATCATGGAATTTTATACTTGGAAAATGTACTTCTTCTCTTCCCGAGATCTTATCATCTGGGACACAAATAGGGAATACATATTACGAGTCCCTAATTACAAAAACTATAACATACTGATTCCCCAAGCTGTCTTAAAAAAGTAGGACTTTATGAGAAAAATTAGGAAAAAGTAGGAAAATCAAGCAATTTTTAATAAAAAATAGGAAAAGTAGGAAAGTTGAAGAAAAGTAGGAAAAAGTAGGAAAAGTAGGATGGCAAGAAAGCCTGCTACCTAGAAAAATGTTTTACTACTTTTTACATTAGGTGTAAAAAAAAATACCTGTGGTTCCGGTTCCCGACCGACCCTAATTTTTTTCCGCCAACCCTATTATTTTTTCAACGCGATTGACCGTGCGACCCTATTTTCTCCAGGTGGTTGCGGGCAGCTCATACAGCGTGCCAAAATGGCGTCTGTTGTCACACTAATTATTGAACCAAATTCACAGATCGGTCACCAAATTGCCTAAATTCGTCCATAGGAAATACGCATCTCTAGTTAATATTGATGTCGGGACTCTACTGCAAATCGCCCAGCAAAAAACCGCCAAAACCATGAAAAAAAATATTGAAAAAAAAAATAATTTCCGACCTACCGACCCTAATTTTTTCACGATATGAAACCGGAACCACAGGTATTTTTTTTTAAGCCTTATGTGCAATGAATGTTGTGTGAGATCGAAGTAAAATTGAAAAGTGACGTGACATTACTTTCAGAAAATTTTACTTGTTACCTTCAAAATGTAATTAATTCATAGATATCTTATGAATTAATTTATGTGTTACAAATTACTTCAGTAAAGAAAGTAATTAATTACCGTCAAAATTACTCAAAAAGTAATTTGTAATTAGTAACGTGTTACTATTGTAATGAGTATTTACAACACTGACATTAAGCAATCGTACTGTGAAACCATTAGGCTTGTAAATATATCTTTAATTAATTAAACTTTTATAAACGGATGAACTGTTGTTATTAATAAATCTTTGAGACATACTGTGACTGGTTTCATGCACTTCTTTTTAACTGTTTGTGATGTGTATACATGCAAGTTGACTAAATTACTTTTTACGTAATCATTTGCATAATTCGATATAATCGATATTATCGATATTCTTTTTCGATATTGATATATCGATTTTTTTCAAAATCGCAACTGCCTATCAAAATGTGGCAATCTTCACAATTTTTAAGCAAATCAAATAAATTTTAAGCAAACCTGTAATATAAAATTCTTGTTAGCCAAGAGAAAATTGATTTGGGTGTATAGCCATGGCCATCGTCAAAACATGCATCATCAATGCTAGAAAATATTAAATTACAGTTTTCAGAAGCACAAAAACTAGGTTAACCCATTATATTATACCTCAAATTCAAACTGTCCAATCAGAAAGCTAAGTTTGTGCCACATGAGCATGAAATTTATCATCAAATCACACCATACGTCATTGTATTTGACGTAGCGGGTGATCTAAATCATCTTATTCACAAACGTATGTGGCAAGTTTTATATTCTCAAAACATATTTTTGGTATAATGGGTCATTCCAGAAAACATCCATACCACCCCCACAGAGGAAATATAGGAAGTTAACCCCCCTACCCCCTTCGGATGTCCTAATACATTTACTATTATCAGAATTTTCTCCTCTCCCCCTCTGGACGGCAGAAATTTCCTCTGTGGGGGGAGTATGGCTCTTTTCTGGAACGACCCAATATATCATTTGTAGACCCAGGGCTTTATTTCGGGTAATATTTATTTCGCCGAATCCCCCTTGTTCAGGTCTATAAATGATAAAAGTTGCATTGTGGCACAATGCAGCCTACTTTTTTTCTACTCTGTCTAACACCAGACGATTTTACTCATCAAGGGTAGAGCGCTGGCTAATCATAAAACTAGTTAACCCTTTAAGTGGCAATGCACCCTGATGCACCCTACTTTAGTATTTTACTCTGTCTAACACCAGGCAATTTTACTCGTCAAGTGGAGAGTGCTGCCACTCAATGGGTGAATTATCCAAGCTTACATTTTCTGTTTAAGAGTTTCTTGAATATACTGGAAATCAGCGATGTCACCAGACGCACCAATCACAGTGTTCTCATTCACTTTCATGAGACGAGATAAAGATCTGAACCTCGCCAGAGAACCATAAGACCCTGTGAAGATAATTATGTAATCATAAAAACTTTTATACTCAAAAGAACTGGACTTATCGGGCATACAATTTTGATGCTTTCTGTATATTTACCAGTAAATTTTCGAAACCTTAATGGGTGCGCAATTTTCAAACTTTCCAGTTTGCTCAATTATCACAGCAAATCTATTTGACTATTTATACCTATATTATACAGGCTATATATTGACAATATTGTATTATACAATTTGTATGTTGCATAAATTACCTAAAGTGTCTGCAGCCAAAGCCACTCCTCCATTAAAACATACACCAAGAACTGAGGTCCCTTGTGTAACTGGATACCTACAAAATATCATTGTTTTATAACCGCCTCATGCCACAAAAATATAGCCATTTTAGAGTCAATTTTTTGTCACAAAAACTACCGTAAATCATCACTTAAAAACAACCAAAAGTACACTCACATGCTTCTCTTTGCTGGACCATGCATGGTAGTTGGAGTTTGTCGTGGAAAGTCGTGAAATCTGCCTGGAAATGGACCATTTTGCCACAAACCTCTTTCAGAAAAAGACGCCATTTTGAATTTTGCTTGCTCATGAAGAAGTAGATACCAGTGCCCTCATGTTTTTCAGAGCGACCTTTGCGCTCTGGTGACTTACGTATACCCCTGCCAGCTGACGGTTTGAAAACGGACAAAGGCACAGAATAAGGACTACTCCTTATTCTGTGACAAAGGTTAGTGGGTGGGGGTTAGGGTGGGGGTTAGGGTTGCAACCCAATAACTTATTGCTGATAACGGTTGATAATTACAATACTATATTGTTGATAACGCAAGGAGGGCTGACAAAATAGGTCTGCTGAAATGAGCCCCTAATCGTGTTCTACGAGGTCGAGTGATAATTGAGTACATTTATTGTCAATAGGTGTATATCCGTTGACATCCAATTCACTCACATATATAATTTAAATAATAATAATTTAAATAATAATTTCTTCTGAAGATGACTTAAATTATAGTCGAAACGTAAAGAATTAAAAATGTTTACAATTTTCGGAGCTGAGTGTCTATTGTTTTGTGTTTTATAGAATTCGTGAGGTCGGGGGCAAATCTTCTCTGGGGGCCCCATGACAACCTTTTTTTTTAAATTAGACCCATGTCACTCACCCAACTAGACCTTAGCTAGACTGCATGTGGAGCTACTGTAAGCGGGCTTGTAAGGGGCCTTTCATTTCAAAAATGCTCTGATCAATTTAAAGAACCTACTCAATTTTAGGCTCTCGCTCTCAATTTGCCCCCTTCTAGGCGATCCTGCCCATACATCTCAAACGCTCATGTTTTATCTAAAACATTATACTGCTGGTGGGTTTGCAATGAGCAGGAAAAGTAAACAACATCTCTCGTTTCTATTTACTTGTCGTGTCTGCTGCCAAATTCAATACTACTACATATAATGAAGAGAAATAACATTATTTTATCGCCAGAGCAATTGGTTGCTATGTTTTCATGCATTGTGTAATATCACGACTGGGTAATTAAACCAACACATTATTATTGGTTGGGTGGGCGAAAAAATGAGGTATATTATGTTTGCATCGAGTTTCATAACCCTCTTAACTAACTCATCTGTGGAGTGTTTGCACTCATTTGAGGCCATGTTGGCCTGTGTTCCAGACAAAAGTGTCTAATTAAAATTATTTTGAACTGGAACACCAACATGGCTGCTGTGACATTATGTGCAAATGCTCTATTCAAATATTTGCCTTCTGTCTGCTTTATGACGACATTGGGGTTTGGTAAAACCAACTTATTCAAATAAAATTAAAAATAGTGTTGAAATATTTTTGTACTTCAAAAAATACTTGAAATTTCTATTAAAAAACACACACACAAAAACAACATCACTCATAGCGACGTAGCGGACGGTGAATATTAAATGTTTATGGCCTTATTAACTTTTTCTATTGAGTAAAAATGTTTTCTTATGCTCTTGATTGAACGTTTACCTAAATTCAATTTGTTTTGGTTTGGTAAACATATTAAGTCATTTTCTTTTGTAAGCTTTTTTTCTAAAATAAACTTCCGTTTACATATATGTTGCAATTAAAGTCGGTGTGATCGTGTAGACGTTTACCGACTTAATAAATTGAGATCGAATATTCTGAATCCGAAATTTAGGACCATGGTACATGTTCAATTTATAGTCAAAGCAATGACTTCCAGCCCAATATTCGCATAGGTATGTCAGTCGTTGAACTATAGGCATAGCTTGACCAAACTCATCCAAATCAACGAGCAAATTATCAAATTTCTTGACAACCTTTCAAGCAATATACCATGTGACCAAAATACAGCAATATGATTGGTTATTTTAAAGGTTATGAAATACAGTAGGTCTATTTGAAGGCGTACCCTGTCAATAACTTTACCATACCTCGTGAACTGTGCAAGGTGCTGGACAGTTTTGCAAACCGAATCGAAGTTATACAGTGAAAATGGCAGGTGAGTCATGAATTGGATATTTTTGGTTCAAAGTTAGGCTAGTTCAAAGTATGGATGCGTACTCTCTGCTTAACTGAAAAGTACAAGTATAACTAAAGTCAACCCGATCCGCAAATCCGATCTTCATAAGTGGTCCAGACAATGACTGGCTCAGCGAGTTTCATTCCGAGATATTAAATCTAATATATTTTAATAAAAAGTTGTTTGTTCTAAGTTTAAGAGCGCCATTAAAGCTAATCAAGAAGGTTTACATGAATTGATGACTTGCAGACAGGGTCTCGATTCAGAAATTTCGAACCTGTAGAAAGGTTTTTTCTGTGTTAGTGCTGTCTACTCAGGTGAATATGATGTTTGCGATGTTCCCCTGAGTGTAGAAAGGATTTCTAGGCTGTGAAATAGCATCATGGAATTAGGTAGTCTACGAAAAGCGTCTAAATTTTAGCATCACATGACTTTTAGACATCGGAGCGGAGTGATTTTCATACCGGATTCGGCTGCTGTTTACACTGCGCCACAGTAATCCGGTCGCGACGCGCAGCAAAAATCACTCCGCTTTGGAGGTGATATGAAAAGTAATCCGGTATGTGCCGGAGCAGTGTAAACAGGCCAATCGGTTTTGGCGTGTATGTTTTATCATTGTCGCCTTTATTTGCTCGCTTTTACAATACTTTATTACTTTATAGCTCAGTGTTGTTTGTTTCGCCTTACAACCATTTACTATTTCTGGGGAAGAACAACTTGAGTTGTGCTGTGTAAATCAAGCACACAACTCACTTACAACAACGTTAGCGAGTTGTGTGCTTGATTTACACAATGGAACTGAAGTTGTAAGCAGGTTGCATGCGACAGTTTTAGGCAAAAGTTGTGGAGTGTAAATCGGCCGCTTAAACCTTTGTACCTGACAATATTGATTTAATTCTGAGATTTCATGCCGTGACCACACCTTGTCACAACAAAAAGCTACTGCTCGTTAGCACAATATGCAATTTACTCCATTTGTTCAGGAATTTTGGAAGAAGTCAGCGCCACACATAAGAAGATCATTGATCTTCTGGCCAAAGGCAAGAACAAGGAAGCCCTCGAGTTTTACACAGATGATTGCGTAATCATGACACCAGGACGAGAAGCTCTTCAGGGAAAAGACGGTAAAAATATAACAGTCTTCGTTCTTCCGCGAATGATTTCTCGTTTGAAACAAAACAATATTTCTTATTTTTCACCCTGCTCGGTTTCCTTTGTTCTTGTCGGGGAATATAATCAATATTCCCCTCTAATCAATTTCCGTTTAATAATCCCCTCTATAATATTCACCTGCAATTAATAATCCCCTCTAATATTCACCTGCAATGTCTTTGCAGCACAAAAAATAAGAAAAAACAACATCGCGAAGGCAATATGGCATTAAGAATTCTTTCTTTTCTGACTCGTTAACGCGACCTCGCAGTGTGAAAAATAAGTACGTTATTTTGAGGCACCTCGGGGATATGTGTTTATTCACCTCGGCGCTGCGCGCCTCGGTGAATAAATCACATATCCCCTCGTTGCCTCAACTGAATAACCTATATACTTGCCGCCAAAATTTGCCCACCTTTTCAAACCATGGCTAAGAAATAATATCTCCTGGTTTGGCTATCTTCAGGGAACATGACTAGGAAACAATGTTTCCTGGTTTGCCCACCTTCAGAAAACATGGCTAGGAAACAACGTTTTCTTGTTTGAACAGGAGTCACAAGGACTTACATAAAATATAAATAATTACATACACGACAAAAAGATTTACATAATCTTTTCCTATGGCTAGCTTTTCTGAAGTTCATTGAAGCTTCGGCGGAATTGCAGAGCAAAGTGGACAAAACAGAAAACGTGGAAGAAGCGGTGTTTGGCGAGGGAGACCTAGTCACATCACGCAGCAAAGGAACTGTCTATGGAAAGGATGGAGCTGTCATTTTCAAGAGAAAGTAAGTTTATAGTCAGCTGTATTCACAAGCAAACGTGATGGTCCAGTGTAAGTAGTATTCTACAATAAGCTGTCGTGGTTTGTGTCTGAACTACCTGAAAAAGATATCTCAAACGTGATGGTCCAGTGTAGGTAGTATTCTACAATAATCTGCCGTGGTTTGTGTCTGAACTACCTGAAAAAGATACCTCAAACGTGGTGGTACAGTGTAGGTAGTATTCTACAATGGTTTGTGTCTAATCTAGACTCTCACGCACAAGAACCACAGAAGCTTATAAGCTTATTGCAGAATACTGTATCCAAAACAAACCCCCTATGTTTTGAGCTTCTTCAAACGTCCGCTAAAGTGAACCTACATTTTTTTTGCAGGGCATTGACAGTTTGGAAAAAAGTCAATGGCAAATATTTGGTACACAATGTCATCTGGAATACAGATGCACCTCTGAATTTATAATTTCAAAGACGTGGCACAAACCTAAATTTTGTAGAAGTAGTTTGAAAAGTTTTTGAATAAAAATTCTTCAAATGATATTTAATTTTGAATTTGCTTTTATGCTCTTTCACCAAAGTCTATCAAGATATGATGATCTGGAAACTAAATAGAACTGCAGGGCATTAGGTTTGCTGAATAATTAGGTCAAACACCGTCACACTAGGCCTTTGTTTTCTGTGTCTTGGCCTTTTGTTTTCTTTGTTTTCTAAACGGCACTAATGACGATTTGGCCTAATTATTCATCTACTACTTACCGGTAACTGGTCGTTTCGTCCCCTTCACGTTTCGTCCCCAGACTAGATACTGTTTTATCTATAACCTACAGTTCCTTAATACAATACATCTTACATTTTGAGATTGTATCTCAGTGGATTGAATGCCTTGATAATACACATTTTTGTATATAAATTCCGAAACTTTGAAATGTATTATGTGTAACTTAAATATTTGGC